TAGGAATAGCAGGCTGCATTAGCTATACTGTGGTTTATTTCACTTACGGTACTGATTCATTTTGGGCCTTGTTTCCATGTATCATAGAAAAATAAATGTATATGCATAATATAAAATGGAGGCCGTTATTCAAATAATTAACTGAATTAGATCCAGTTTTACAACTAAATTTTTCAATGAGAGTACTTTGGGGAATTGAATGTTTCTGTATATTTGTCTCAACTGAATTCTCGACTTTATTTTCAGGTACTGATAGACCACCTGCCAAAAAAAAAACAAACAAAAAAAGTTATTCTTTTCTTTTCTTCTCTTTCTTTTTTCTTTTTAAACAAGGGAATGTTTAGCTTTCCTCACTTCTTCTTAAAGCAAAAATAAAATATTCCTTGACCTATGTTAGGTCTAGATGGACCTCTATTATGTGAGCAGGATTAGAAATTAAATTATTATTAAAAGAGTTACAAATACAAACTTTCCTTCATTTCCATAAGAACTTACTTATGATGGCAAAAACATTAAAGATAATACAAACACTGTACTTAATTACTTATTTATGCCTAAAACTGGATTCTTGATCTCTTACACTTGGATTTTTTTTTTTTTTTTTTTGGCCGCGGCCACATAGCATACGGGATCTTAGTTCCCTGACCAGGGATGGAACCTGCGGTCCTTGCATTGGAAGTGCAGAGTCTTAACCACTGGACTGCCAGGGAAGTCTCTGGATTCTTGATCTCTTATACGCACCCAACATACTCCATCCCCAGTCCTTTCCATCTCAGTTCATGGCAAATTCATTTTTCCACTTAGAATCCTTGAGAGTCATCCTTGATTCCTCTCATTCTCTAGAATCCCAAATCCAATGTGTCAGTAAATCACAATGAGTTTCAAACTATATCCAGAATCCATCCACGTCTCATGGAATCTACTGTAACAACCCTAATACAAGCTACCGTCATCTCTTGCCTGGTTACTCTCTATGCCTCTACAGACTATTTCCAGCCCAGCAGCCAGAGTAATCATTTTAAACCCTTAACCACATCATGTCAATTCTCTGCTAATAGCCTCCTAGTCCCAGGCACATAGACCTTCCACCATCTGTTCTCCTAGTTCTTCTGTGACCTCTTCTATCTTCTTTCTGGGTCACTATTCTTCAGCTAAAATGGCCTCTTGGTCACTCCTGCAACTTACCAGCCCCGTTCCCACTACAGGGCCTTGGCACGGGTTGTTCTCATTGTCTGGAAGGCTCTTTCTTTAGATATCTACAACCACCTTCTTCCTCAAGTTATTATTCAAATGCCACTTCCTCAGTGAGCCCTACCCTGCTTGCCCATTACAAATATCACAGTTCTCCTATTCCTCCTGCTTGTTCTCATTCCATAATCCCTTCCCTGTTGTATAAAAATTTCCCCCTCTAACACTCATAGCCTTTTAACATATTACACAATTTGGGTATTTATTTTATTGTGCAAATCCTCCTTCTAGAATGTGAGTTTGATGATGGCATGGAGTTTTGTTTTGTTCACTGCTATATCAGCAGCTCCTAGAATAGTGTCAGGCACATGGTAGGCCCATCATAATAATTGTCGAATGAACGAAATAATTAGCACCTATCACTAACACTCAGCAAATAGACCTTAATTTCAAGGGGAGAAATGTAAAAGTTGTTCGTTTCCAGTACAAGAGGTATTATATATTGGATTCTATAGGAATGGGAGCAACTAAGTTTCCATATGTCTAGAGAGTTCAGGGGCCCCATGAAACCCTGATATTCTATGATTCCCTTCCCATCTAAGTCTCAAAAATGATCATTTTCTAGCAGCCAAGCACTAATTTTAAAAGATCCTGGAGTGTTAAACCTGCAATGAGAGATTCCTAAAAGGATGGTTCATGATTATAGTTCTACAAGCTGCTCAGTGCTGCAATTCTTAGCATTTCTTCTCTCACCACTGTGTTGCTCTTCCTACTTCAAAACATATGAATATAATTGGAAGGTATGGGAAGCCAATTTGATTACACTCTGAACAGTTATGTGATACACCCTCCCTCCAGTGTGTCAATAAATTTGATTAATATATACCTTTTCATGTTGGGCTTTCTTTTGAAATACATAACATCAGTTGATCCAAGTTGGCCTAAAGCAAGAGTCCTGCATAGTCACATAATTTTTGGTAGCATAAATATAAATGCTGAAATTATTCTGTACACCTTTAAGATTCATCTTTTGGTTATTCCTACCTTAAAGGAGCATGGAGTTTTAGGGTTACAGGTTTTATTTCATTTGGTTTGATCACCTCATTTTACAGATATGAAAACTTAGGACCCATGATATAAAATGACTTGCCCAGGTACCACAGAGCTGAATAATTGTTTTGGTCAGAACTCCTCGTTCTAAAGATAAAACAAGATACCTCTGAGATTGCAATTGAAAAAGAGTTCTTAATATTAGGAAATTAACTGAATATAGCAACAATTTCAATATGCAATTCTAAACAATATTCAGTTCTACCTGGTTTATTTCCATTGTGACTATTTAAACATTAGAATAGCAAATATAGCAAACGGTGAAATAATTGATAAGTAGGAAAAGAAAAAGCCTCCACAAGCATCCTAATACATGACAGTCATGGGTCACAAAAGAGTAAGAATTTGCAGGTCACCTGGAGTAAACTGTCTGCATGGAGTCCACAGAAGAAACCACTTTATCGCAGAGATGGCTCCATACTAGGCATGGCTTCTGCTATTATTTGGAGGATTAAGCCTTCTTTCATTATCTAATCTAGTCATCTTCTAAGATGCCAAGAGGCATTTTTGCTTAGATATGTACCCTTTCTGTTTTCATTAGTCAGTCTATATGAAGGTTATTATACCAGAGGAATGTAAAAATCTACAGTAACAATGCTTCATTTTCCTTTAATGGCTTTGTTCAAGGAATGAAGACATTTTTGTGGTGTGATGAATTCACTTGGTCTCCTGATGTGTTTTTTCCACATGCTTTGGAAATCACGTGTTTTTCTGAGAGGTGGTAGTCATCAATGTCTTAATTTCAGCACCATTGCTTTAGCTTTGTTACAATGAAGATATCTTAGTAGCATTGATAATTTAGGATCTTTGATATTAATCGAATGGAGAATATTTTTGACCCATGGTGGGCAGGAGTGCTCTCACACTACAAACAAAATTATGACTAAATCAAATTTTTAAAATAGATGTTAACAGATTCCAGGAGGTAGGAACACTAAGATAACTCGTGGGACTGCAAAGCTAAGATCTCCACCAACAGCAAGTCACAATTTCCTAAGAGTGACATTTTGAGCTCCCTCTACCAGGGCCTGTTTAACTCGGTTTCCCTTCTCCATGGCACACTTTGATTAACTCCTGCTGTGTGTGATTATATGTAGGTTAGAAACCAGTGGCTTGAGAGTAAGGTCTGGGTTCTGTCCCAAAAAACTAGGTCAAATCTTGCCTCCATGTGATGCAGGTAAAAGTCCCAAGAAAATATCAGTACGGCAACACTGACTGAACATAATTTTACTTGAAAGGATCTCCTTCCAGTTATATTTCCTTAGATGTACTATTAATATTTTTCTTAATTTTCTTCTATTTTCTTGCTAATGTACTTGAAAGGGCTTTTCAACTATTGTATAAACCAGTCTTCCTTCATAAGAAATTATGACGATTCTCTCTGTTACTTTCTTCCCCTATACACTTTGCCCATCAGTGGATTGAGCCCTGATTTACACATTATGGTGAGCTTTTACATCCTAAACAAATTTATTCTTTTGGAACTTTATTTGGCAAGTATTTAACTGTTGGGGAGATTAAAGGAGAGCTAAAAGCAAAATTAACAAGAGACTCAACTACAATCCACAGACGAAATAACCAAATAAGTTGCTATTTTAAACAATGTAAGCGAATAGGAAGGGATTATTTCCGAACACAAATATTCATAGAGGCAAGAAAATAACTGAAGTAATAATGCTTAAAAAAGACTTGATGAGGGTTAGTAGTTGAATCTCTGAAATATAATATTTGACGTCATAGGCATGGACTTAAGCGGGTAATAGTTTTCTTTCCTGAGCAGCTGAAAAGAATGTTAAAAATATAAATAACAAGACCACGTAAAATAATGAAAGCAACTGAAATCACTGTCTTATGATTGTATTATTTAAAGAAATACAACTGTATCAATCAATTCTGAGAGGACAGGATGTACAGCTCAAAAGTGGGAGTGCAAGATTTTAAAATAAGGAGAAGCAGGCTAAAATTCTAAGAAAAAATAAATATAGAATCATCCATTCAGAAGCCTTGAAATATCAAATAGTTTTCAATAAAAACGTGGTCATTAAATGCTTGAGCTTGGTAAAATGAATAGGAGGGAAAAATTCGCTGCAGACTATCATCTCCCACGGCCTCTGGAATGACTTTGCGCAGGGGAAGGATGGGGAGCGGTGATGTGCCAGGGCCGGCCTAAGAGGGGGTGTTTCACGGTCCCAGAAAGGGTCGCATATCCATACCCCAGCACCGCGGTCCTTTGGGGGAGGAGGGCCTTTCTGATGTCTCCGTTTCCCTGCATCGTCCGGGTAAGATCCCGGTTCACCCCTACTGCGGACAAGACTTACAGAGGTCAATCTCTGCCCTGAAGCTGAAAACAAAACTTCCAGCCTCGGTCACTAAATCCCTCGAAAACCCTAGTCCTCTCAGCTCATTCTTAAGGAGTCCAAGAATGCCCTTCAACACACTCCGATTCTCAGCTCATCCCCACTCATCTCCCAGCAGCCCCCGCTCTAAGGGCCGCCGCGTGGCTCAGGGTCGCCCGCCCCCGGCTCCGCGCAGCCCTCGCCGCCCTCGCCGCCCGCACCGCCCGCACCAACGCCGCAAGGAAAGCGGCAACGGGCGCGCTCCACGACGCCCCGCCCCCAGCGAGCGTGGCGGAAGTGGCTGCCTAGAGAAAAGAGACCGCGCGCCACCTGGCCGAGCGCGCATGCGCCAGCGTCCGCGTCGGGAGTGGCGGGGGTGTTTGTAGCCCTCCCTCCTCCACCTCCGCCACCCCCGCCCCACAGAGAGTCGGGCTCACGCCATCTTGCCCCCCCGTCCGCGCCCAGCCACCCTTTCCCTTTAGACTCTCTCAGCCCCCTACCCCGCCCCTTTCCAAGCGTGTCCCGGGCCGCCGCCGCAGAAACCGCACCATCTCTATCCCCACATTCTCCACGCGGGACGCGCAGCCGGGTCTACAAGTGTTCTTAGAACAGAGGTTGTAGGGGGACCGGGGGAGGCGCGGGGGCGGGCGGGGGAGAGGGCTGGGGGCCGGGAGAGGCGCCGAGCCCTGCGTGTCTGGGCCCCGCCCCCCTGCCCCCGGGAGCTGCCGTCGGGGGTCCCGGTCGTTAGCGCGGGAGGCTGACGGGCACACAGAAGCAGCGTCTCCGGAGGCGCTGGCCCCGCGAGTCGGCCGGGTTCTCCCGCGGCGTGTGGAGTTGGCCTTGACTCCTCCCCGTAGGCGGGTGGGCGTGGGGCCAGGGGAGCTGGGCGGGCGAGAGGGAGCGGGCGTCGCTGGGTGTGTTCAGAAGCACCTTCCGCGTGTCATCTAGGTCGTGTTTTGGGGGGAAGAATTCTTAAACAAGGAAATTGTAGCTTTATGGGCGAGGTGGAAGAAGAGTTAGGTAGCGTTAGTAGAAGTGTAGCGTCCAGGAAAAGGAAAAGATCGACTCCCTTCTCTCTGGGGTGAGCCCACATCTGTGACCCCTGGGGAAATTATTTAGCGTGTCTTTGGCTGGGTGTTCTGGTCTGTAAAATGGGGATAGTAATAACCTAGATCAGAATTGTGAGGATTAAATGAGGTAATACAGGTTAATGCTTATAACAAGCTCCAGGCACTGATCAATTAGCTGTCAGTTACCTGTCATTTTTATCTCCCTGTTTAAGGAATTCAGAATGACTGTGACCTGGCTTTCTAAGTGGAAAAATCAAGAAACTGGTGTGGATTTTTATAGGGGCGGTGGAATGTAATATCTGACACTCAGAGGCGATCCTGGAAATGTGTTGTTAACGTACACGTGGATAAATGAGCTTAACTCCGTGAGGCTTTAGAAACTTTAAACTCTTTCGTTCCAGAGAAATGAGGATGTATTTATCTAGGAGGAGAGGTCGTAGGGTTTTACTATATGTGAGGACAGAACTTTGGAAACAGAATTAAATTACCTCTGTAAAAGATTTACTTGAAGACCAAATTGAGGATGGAACTTGTGGAATTTCTGGTGGATGTTTTAGAGAGGCTGGATTTCACTGAATGTTATGAATAATTTCCTGATGGTTACTACTTTGCAAAAATAAAGTGCACTTCATTGTGTTATTGCAAGTTTCTTATCTCTGGCAATATTCAAGAAAAGATCTAGAGCAGCCTAGGTCTAGAGCAGCCGTGTCCAATGGAACTTTCTATCGTTGTGGAAATATTCTGTAATCTGTGCTGTCCTAATATGGTATCCACTAGGCACAAGTGGCTCTTGAGCCTTGAAGTGTGGCTAGTAGTGCACTGAGGTATTTAATTTTTAATTTTATTTTAATTAACTTAAATATATATAGCCACATGTGGCTAGTGGCTGCCTTATTGGACAGCACAGGTCTAGAATCTAGCCTTTGAGACCTTTTCCAGTTCTTGATTTTGTTGAGTTTTAAGTCAGAGAAGCCAACTCTTAGAACATTTGTTGCTTTAGGGAATTATAATTATATTCAAATAATGCCTTTCATTCACATACTGTAGTTCAAAGCTTGGGTCTGTTAATACTTACTTACAGCTTGAAAATTAAAGCAAAGCATTCTTTTGACTCCTAGGTTGTACGGCTAACAGCAGATTTGTTTGGAGAGTCATAATAATACTAAGTGGAGTTTCCTTTAATCATTGTACTGTTTCGTGACTGTGGGTTTCCACTATCTTTTATCACTTTAGTCAGTTTTCAGTGAAAACCTTTCAACTCTTTTACTCCTGAGTTTTTTCAGTTTGAAAGATGGTGCTTTTTCCTTAACTTTTTGTATAAAAAACAATTTGATAAATTATAGTAGAAAACTGAGCGTTGGGCCATTTCAGAAGTAGTTTTGTGGTTATTGGTATTCAAAACTTTTGAAGAGATAAGTCTGAAATTTGGCGATATTTTGCAAGATTGCTTTCTTTGAAATACATAGAGTGGTTTTTTTCAAGCAAATGTTTATAAAGTTAAGTTTGAAAGAAAAACTAAAAAAAAAAAACAACGCTTTGTTTATAGATAACACACCCTTAACTCTGGCCCGATGTTTGTGAAGTGGTACCCTTGGTCTCAAGGCCGATGATAACCCTTGGATCTGGAACAAAAACTTAAAGCTCACGAATTAAGCATATACAAAGAGCAGCCCATAACACAAATCAAAATGGGTTGCTCTTATGTATACCCTGCTTTTTCTGGGGCAGTCATGGTTTAGAGTCTGTTTGTCTCAGGATAATTCTTAATAGAACTCCTTCCATTTTCAAAAATGTTGCAGTTGGGTCTACTTAATAATATGGTCACCCTCCTTTCAGGCTTGTTGAAATTTGGAATGTATGATTTTAGGAGGATTAAACGTACTGCAACCTCAGAAATGTACTTGCTTTAAAGTAGTGACAACTTTATTGCTTATGTGCTTAAATAACAGACGAGCTATCTGGAATAAGGCCAGCAAGTGACCTGTCCGTTTAAGCCACAGGTAATTAAAATTTTCTACTTTTCTCCATATAATTGGATAGAAATCTTGGGCACCTTGATTTTTGGTTCTCTCTTGATTTTTGGTGTAGGAATCTGCAAAGAAAGTTAGGCCATGCCAGTTAAATCAGAACATTGAGTATTCTTGTTGAAAATAATACCTGTTTTACTTTATGGTGAGGTTGAATAGTGAAATTAGTTAGAAATCTACTTATTATATTAAAGACTGGTTTTGCTGATGGCTCACCTAAATAGTAAAGAAAAATAATTCAACTTAATGTTTTATTGTATTAATTGAATTTATACTGTAGTGGATAAAACATTTTATTGAGTCAAACACATTTGGTTTGATTCCTTACTGCTGAGGGTTAAATGAAGTAACCCATGTGATGTGTGTTGGGTGCAGCGAAGCACATAAGAAGTATGTACTCAATAAATATTGGCTGCTCTAGCCTTAAGTTTATTGAATAATGGATCTGGAGAGATATTAATGTTCTGAGATGCATTGTGGATATGTGCAAAGAGCACTTAAAACTAATTTCAGAATCTAGATGTAGCCCTTTTCTGCCCTAATTCTCTCTGTGTGATTTCAATTAAGGTTTTTAACTTTTCTGAGTCTCAGTTTCCTCATCAGTAAAACGGAATTAGCACCTAACCTTATCCCACCTCCTCCCAGGGTCGCTGGAGGCTTCAGATGAGAATTACGTAAATTGTTGTGTTGTTTTACAGACATTTAACTATTTAATTGATTTCCTCTCAACTTGTCTACCGACTACCTCCAGTAAATCTGCAAAAACTGTTTACACATATTTTAATTTGTGAAACAGCATAGAGTGTAATAGACACTGTTACCTAAGATCATTCTCTTTGACAAATAATACTGTACACGCCAGTAATGGTGCTATATTGATCTGGTTACGGTATATTCCCTGTACAAAACAACTCCATACTACTGCTAAGGGAGAGCCAACGTTTCCATGGGCACTTGATGTGTTCCAGACTAATGCTCCATCTCATTTATCCAAACGTGTCATTCCCACTTAATAGGTGATACTGATGAGTCTCTTACTTTTCTGGAACGGATCTGTAAGTTTTTCTTGCGTTATACTACTGCCTCTGATAGAATCTGACTGGTAGTGGATATTGAAGGTTAAATAAGGTTATGAATATTAAAATAACATGCTAACTGGCTTATAGTATATACTAGTTGCTGAAAAACTGCTGTGTTCATTGAATTCATAGGGCAGTAAATATAAAATATTATATAAATACAAACTATTTAAAAATCTTGAAGTGTACTTTTGCTATTTCAAATGCTATAGCAGTTTTATGACTGAATCCTTTATATTTTACTTTATTCATATTATTTGTTTCTGAATCTTTAAAAGACTATTCCTATCATAATATTCTTCCCCTGAGAGTATATGTGTTTAATAATAATACTTTGTGATATGTTTTCAAGAAGCTATACTTTTGCTTGGATTCTTCATCATCATCGTCACCATCATGAACTGAGTGTGTTCTAGGTACCAGGCACTGTCCTAAGTGCTTTGTATACATTACTTGATGTCACCTATGAGAGGAGTATTTTTAATCTCCTTTTTAAAGATGAGGGAACTGAGGCAGGGAGGTGATGTGACTTGCCCAAGGTCACCTGGTAAGTGTTAGAGCCTGTGTTTGAATTCCAGAGCCCAGCTCTTTACAGCTAAACTGTGAGTCGGCATAGACAGATACTTCACAACAAAGTTCACTATGACAGACACATTGTGGAGGTCTTGTGAGTTAATTATAATCAACTTTTATTTGTGTGTTCCTTGTGGGATAGTAGAAAGAACTCTGGACCAGGAGTCAGGGGACCTCAGTTTTAGTCCCAGCTGTGTCACTAAATAGTGATGTGTCCTTGGGCAGTTCAAGAAACCCCTCTGGACTTCAGTATCCTCACCTGAAAAATGAGGGATTTGGATGAAATTAGTGATTTTCAAACTGTAGTTCTGAACGTCGGATGTCTTTGGTCCCTCCCCCCGCCAATTTCCATAGTTATACTTTGTTATAGTTGTTTATCCGTCTGCCTAAGATTTACTTTTAAGCAAAGAATTCCTGAACTTAACTTTTAAAGTCATCAGTCTCCAAGAAAACTTAATGACAAGTCCCCTGGCTACTATGTGCACAACTTCTCAGTAATTCCATATTATTTTAGTGTGTTAAAACTATGGCACTAAAATGGTAGGGGATTGGTGAATTTTTTAAAAATATGTATGTAGATGGACTGAATATTTCAGGTTACCTGGGATCAAAGCCTGTTTTTTGTGTTAGATTTGTTACCTTCACCCAGTGTTTTTACTCTTACCTTCTTCATGAATAGGGGGGAGATACATACCTAAGAGGGTGGTTGTGAAATATGTGAGCCAATACAGGTGAAAGACCCCTTATAAACTCCGAAATGCTTATACAAATTAACTTCTTTTCACGGGTTCGTGCCCCGGTCCGGGAAGGTCCCACATGCCGCGGAGCGGCTGGGCCCGTGAGCCATGGCCGCTGAGCCTGCGCG